CAGCTGTGTTTAGTGTCGCTCAGGTGTGTTTCAGCTGTGTTTCGTGTTGCTCAGGTGTGTTTCGTGTCGCTTAATACCGATGTGTTGCTGATGTTGCTCTCCTCTGAGATTCTGGTCTGGATTGAGACGGGGGGCTGAGCTCGGCTCGGCCACGTCCTGAAAACACAGCAGAAAAAGTCTTGTTATCACCATGACGATGGTCACACCTGTCCCTCAAGAGTCCCAGAGGATTGAGGGTACACTCACCTGATGCGGTCCTGGAACCGGGACAGGAAGCGGGTGGAGATGCTGAGTCGAGGGTTCAGGTAGTGCTTCTCCTCCGGAGGCTGCAGAGACTTCAGGTCGGTGTCAAACTTCTCTGAAAAGGTCAAAGTTCACAAAAACACATCAGCATACGTGTGAGTGGACCGCTGAAGAAGATGTTGAAGATGAAGAGGGTTCGGTACCGTCGCTCAGACTGGAGCTCAAAGTATCAAAGTGATTCTTCAGAGAGTTCCCGTCCTCGTCGTCCTCCAGAACCAAACTGCTCACAGAGCTGCCCTGACTGAGGGAGTCGGTGTCTGAGGAGAGAAACTAGTGTCAATAATAATCACCATGAATAATAAAATCATGATTTGTTCTCCGGCTCTCTGACCTGCTTCCTGCTGCTGCTCCACACTTCCCGCTGAGCCCTCGGAGGAGGCGGAGTCTGGACTCAGCTGTGCGAGGGAGCGGCGAGGGTCGGTCACAGCCTCCACGTCGAACTCCCTGAGAACAGACGGGTGTTAAGTTCATGCGACTGTGAGCGTCTGCAGGTGAACAGGAACCTCACCTGTTGGAGGAGGCGGTGGTGGGGTAGAGGATGTAGCTGCTGCTGTTGTGACCTGGATTCTGGAGCACCTGAACATCACACACAGACACAATCAGGTACCTGCTCACACAGGTGTTGATGCTTCTAGATTATTGTTGTTAAATGAAAGCTGTGTACTTTATCATCGTTTAGTTTAACTCTCTGAACCCCAGACGCCACCGGCGGGATTGAAAAGCATGTTTCCTTTAAACAATCTCCTAAACGTCACCGTTTATCAGCCAAAAGCTGTAAAAAAAAAGTCTTAATCAACAGATTTTCAGCGGAGAGGAGAGAGGAGAGCAGAGAGGAGAAGAAGAGAGGAGAGAGGAGAGGAGAAGAAGAGAGAGGAGAGAAAGAGAGGAGAGGAGAGGAGAAGAAGAGAGGAGAAGAAGAGAGGAGAAGAAGAGAGGAGAGGAGAGCAGAGAGGAGAAGAAGAGAGGAGAGGAGAAGAAGAGAGGAGAGGAGAGGAGAAGAAGAGAGGAGAAGAAGAGAGGAGAGGAGAGCAGAAGAAGAGAGGAGAAGAAGAGAGGAGAGAGGAGAGGAGAAGAAGAGAGGAGAAGAAGAGAGGAGAGCAGAGGAGAGCAGAGAGGAGAGCAGAGGAGAGCAGAGAGGAGAGCAGAGAGGAGAGGAGAGAGGAGAGCAGAGAGGAGAGCAGAGAGGAGAGCAGAGAGGAGAGGAGAGAGGAGAGGAGAGAGGAGGAGAAGAAGAGGAGAGGAGAGGTTGAAACATGTGAATAGTTTAATATTTATAACACGTAGAGACTCATTTTATTTTCAATCTCTGGAAACACTTGTGGACACATGGAGCATGTTGGATGAATAGGTGTGTGTGTGCGTGCGTATATATCAGTGGTGGGCCTTCAGTGCTGTCCTGCAGCTGAGCCATCTCCTAATAACCTCACTATGAGCCACAGCTACAGTAATAATGCACGTATTCATATTAAACCGTTCGCTACGAGGCTTACGAACCCAACAATACGTTTGAATAATACTCGTGCATTTGGAAAATGCAGAAGCTTAAATTGTGGGAAACATAATGTTTCTGTGCTCACGTAGGAGACAACGGGCTGTGACCTCTGACCCCAGAACAAAAAGAACCAAAGACAGCTGAGGCCCCGCGTGTGTTCTGGGAGGCAGAAAAGGTCCCAAAACCTCCAGAGGTTCAGGGGGCCAGAGGTTCAGGGGGCCAGAGCGTCAACTCCCTAAAAATACTTTCTATATATTCAATCAATCAGCTTGTAATCAGATGATCAGTGAGCTCACCTCCTTCTCCTCCTCTCCATTATCTTCCTCTTCTTTCTCTCCTCCCAGCAGACTCTCTAGACTCTGAGGATGGAAGTCGCCCTCCTCCTCCTCCTCCTCCTCTATAGGCTCCTCCTCCTCCTCCTGACTCCTGGTGGGACTCGGAGACGAGTTGGAGCAGATGGTGAGAGGGTTCAGCTGCTCCGCCCACCGGCTCCTCACCTGACGAGGCTCAGCGGCCGATTGGACGTTAGAGGAGGCTCCGCCTTCACCCTGCTGAACACACAAACACAATGTGCACACCGATGATCTGTAACCTGAGCAGAGACAGAGACTTCAGTAGTAAACTCTATTTACCAGCCTTCTGAACCACATGGGCAGCTTCCCGTTGGTCTGAAGCAGCAGAGCGTCTGAAACAACAACAACAACAACGTGGTGATTCAAGCACCAGCTGCTCTCTAATAAACACATCACGCTCTGAGCACAGGACAAACTACAGTTATTAGTCCGCTGCTACGGAGGAACAGGAAGGAGTCTGCACATCCACGGCATAGCGTCTCTGGAGGTCAGGAAGACTTCCCCAGACCTCATCCTCACCCTGAGCAGAGCCCAGTCTGGCTGGAGTCCCGAGGTCGGCCTCTTCCTCCTCCTCTTCCTCCATCTGAGGCAGCTGAGAGGAGGGTCCAGTGATGAAGGTGTCCCTCCTGAAACAACAACAACACAAGACTGAACAGCTGAAGACTCACATCGGCCCACTTCACTCCTCCAGGTCCTCAGCGTCTCACTCACCTGATGTTTTGCCGTTTGTTTCTGCAGGTTTCAGGTGCGGCGGACAGTTTGAGGCCCCGCCTCTTCCTCATGGTGCTGGTCATCTGAGAGTCCAGCCTCCACACAAACACACAACTACGACATAGTTCATCGTTATTAAAGAAATAAAGCGTCTCCTACCAAAGTACAGGTCAGAAGAGAGGTAATCATAGCGCTACCTGTCTCCAGACACAGTGATCAGGTGTCTGCAGTCCTGACTGAACCTCATACAGGTGACGATCTCTGAGGAAACAAACACCATCGCACTCTCATTTCACTACAACCCATCAGCGAACACAACGACACACTGTGTGTAGAGACTTAACAAACCAAACAACTGGATTTACTCACCAGAGTGTCCGAACAGGGTGGCGACACACTCTCCCGACTCGTAGTCAAAGATGTTGATGTTTTTATCGGAGCAGCTGGTGGCGAAGAACGACCCGGACGGATCCATCTGAACCTGCCGACGACACAAAGTGTGAGCCAATCACATCGCAGAATAAGTCGTCATCATCCGCTTCCTGCTCACGTCAATTCATTGATTATCAAGATAGTTGACAGACATGTGCAGACGCTAATGGGTAGTTGTAGTCCTACCAACAGCAGAGACACGCTGGAGATGGATCCATTAGAGCAGTGTTTTTCAACCTTTTCTGAGCTGCGGCACATTTTTTACATTAAAAAGATCTCGCGGCACACCAACAACCAAAAACATTACAAAATGACACCTACAGCAGATATGCAGGGGTGTGGAACTCAATCCCAGGGAAGGACACAACAAGAAATTGTGACTATGTTGAGGGCCTAATAGAGCCACCATGTAATAAACAGGACAGAAGGGATATTGGACAAAGTGCAAGAACAATACATGTTGAGGTAGGCTACATTATTTTATGCATACATACCAGAGCCAGATGTTTGGCATCTTTTCTTGGCTGCCAGTTCATTAATATCTGGGTTGGGTTCTGTGGAAACCCTCAAGATGGAGTGAAGGTGCATCAGTGAGACTCCTGTGTGGGTTTGTGTTCCTCTTCATCACAGAGAACAGCTGCTCACACAGGTATGTGCTTCCAAACATGCAGAGCGTTTGAGCAGCATGTAGGCGGAGTTAAGGCATCGTTTCGGGGTGAAGCTTGGAAACTGTGCAGCGCCCTCAGAGTCACACTTTGCCTTGAGTGTCATTACACTGGAGGTCTATCAGCTCCACAGGTGCTCTTTACACCTCAACTGCAAACGGATTGCTGAGCAGTTCAGATTTAAATTGCTGAGCTGCCAAGTCGGCAAATCGCAGAGTGAACTCTGTGCCAAGTGCACCCAGTTTATCAGCAACATGCTGTCAGAACACAGCGGTGGAGACCTTTACTGCCTCACACATGTCTGATCACACGTCCCGTCCCTGAAGCTGCAGGTTTAGCGCAGTGAGTTGCTTCGTTATGTCGCACATAAAGCCAGCTCACATCACCACTTCTCGTCCCGGAGCTCTGTGGTGTGGCGGGTCAGTTATGATAAACATGATATTTTCTGGCGGGCCGTTGTACCGAGGGCCGGATACATGCTGACAATTGAATGACAAGTCTCTCAATGCGTTGATCCTTCGAGGCTTTTCATCTGGGTTATGTTGTGCAGGGCCCAGTTCAGAGTCTGCATTTTTCCTTTTCAAATATTTCTCCATCGCTGTTCATCTCGTCACCGCAACATCTCCCGCTCGTCATTTCATTCTACTGTCCTACATTAACACGTCATTACTGCGCTACCTACTGCCCCCCACTGGCATGGAAGAGTATGTATTACTTAGCCAGACACTATATTGCAGCTCACACGCTCAACAATGGCAACAAAGTATTTGCAACAACTAAATAATATTTTATTGGACTAAGTGAAATTGGACATTTTCCTGCGGCACAGCTGACGATCTCTCATGGCACACTGGTGTGCTGTGGCACAGCGGTTGAAAATCACTGCGTTGGTGGTTCCGGTGACGTCATCTCCCTGAATGGCAGCCTAAAACCATAGCTCCTCCGGGAAAATAACTACTACGCCCTGATAAACAATCAAATATTACATTTTTCGAGAATATTCCGGCTGGTAAGTGGGGCAACAATGGGGAAAAAAGGACACAAACAAAAAAAGCAGGATTGGAGAGCCCGTAAATGAAGAAAGCACAAAGAACAGCTCACAGACACAGGTACAAGATGGCGGAGCTAATGCTACCTCTCAGCCAGATGACACGGCAAGTTTAACGAAAGTTCTGGAAGAAATACGGGACTTTTGCAAAGACACAAAACATCAGCTAAATGATATTTCCTCCGAGCTGGCCAACGTCAACCAAAAAATAGCAGAGGCGGAGACACGGATCGAAAGTGTGGAAGATCGAGTTCAAAACTTGGAACAGTTGCTCGGCAAGATGATAAAAGTGATCAACAGGAAAACAAATTACGCGACCAAGAAGGGAGATCACGTCGGGAGAATTTAAGGATTTATAATGTTCCCGAAGGAACGGAGGGGTCGTCTATGGTGGAGTTTGTGGAAAAGTTAATACGTGACACGCTGGAGATCCCCCCCCCAACTACGGACCTTGGTATTGAGAGGGCGCACCGGGCGCTCGCCCCCAAACCTACCGGGGACAGAGAAGACAAGCCACGGTCAATAATAATCAGATTCCACCGATACAAAATCAAAGAAGAGATTCTGGGCGAGGCCTGGGGAAAGAAAAGAGTGCTTCTGAACGAGAGACTAATATATTTCTACCAAGATTATCCCCCAACGGTTCTGCAGAATCGTAAGAAATATTCTGAAGCAAAGCGAGCGTTAAAGCAGAGACAGATCCGCTTCCAGACTCCGTACCCGGCTAAACTGAGAGTGTTTTACGAAGACGGGACGCGGCTGGACCAGTCGGCGGAAGAGGCGACTGCAGATATGAAAGACAGAGGATTGCCTGTCAGCGTGATCACACCGAGGGAGAGCCTGGCTGAGCAACTGTCCCGCTCCGCCTGGGAAGCAGTGAGAGGACCGACACAGCAGAGGACAAGAGAAGAGCGAGACAAGAGTATCCAGGAGAGACTGAGGGCCTTCAAGATATGTGATCTTTATTGACATACACTCATTTTTCCCATTTGAATGAGAATATAAACATGGGAGGAATACAAAGGGGTTCTTTTCCCTCGTGCAATGGACACTGGACGCTGCAGTGGGCTCTCGACCCACAGTCAGGAGAGGCTGACCCTCACAGCTACATCTTCTCTCCAGCTCAACCCAGGGTCATCTAGTAGAGACCCCAACCTTGGAATCACATTTTGTGTTCCTGTTTTTTCATGTATGTTTCTTTGTTCTTGTTCAGGGAGTAGATCAATTAAGGTCCGTTTTGATAAGTTTGTTTATACAATGACAGACATACACATATGGCTAGTGACAAAGTAAAACTTATTTCTTTTAATGTCAATGGGCTTTTGAATCCAATTAAGCGCAGTAAAATATTATCTAAGATGAAGAAAGAACAAGCACATGTGGCATATTTACAGGAAACCCATCTAAATGACACAGAGCACGAAGAACTAAAGAGAATGGGCTTCACTCATGTGTTCTTCTCATCATATCAGTCAGGACATAGGAGAGGAGCTGCTATCCTTATATCAAGCAAACTCAATTTTGAAAAAGTATTTGAAATGGGAGACAAGAAGGGCAGATATATTCTGATAAGGGGAAATATAGATGTCACTCTGTTTCATATATATGCACCCCCAGGAAGACATCTAGGTTTCTTCCAGACAATCACCAATATCATGACAACAGAAACAGAAGGCCTCTTGATATGTGGGGGACTTAAATATACACCTACAGCCAAAGTTGGACTCCTCCAGTAGGAAGACCCATGAAGGGAAGTCCATAAGAAAGTCAACACACTGTGTGAGGAGGTTGGTTTAATGGACATATGGAGAGACCTTTTCCCTAACAGACGGGATTACACTTATTATTCTGCCCCCCCTTCCTTATACACAAAAATAGACTATTTCATAACATTTGGAAAAGATAAGGATAAATTAAACAATTGTGGGATTGGGACAATAGATCTAAGTGACCATGCACCTATATACCTCTCTGTTGATCTTAACTTGAGAACAAAGAGTACTACATGGAAACTGAATTCAAGTTTACTCAATGATCTGGATGTTAAGAAACAAATTAGAAAAGAGATTAGTCTTTACCTGGAATTCAATGACTATGGAGAGGTTTCACCTCCCATTCTGTGGGATACTCTAAAGGCTGTCCTAAGAGGGACAATCATAGCAAT